GGAAAGGGGTCCGCGAATGGAGGAATCGGGCTGGGGAGTGGCAGAGAGAGAGCTGGGCAGTGAAGTGGGAGAGCTGCAAGGAGAAAGGAAGGACACGAGGGATGGGGAGAGGGCGAGGACCTGAGCTGAGGACGGCGGGCTGGAGAGGGTTAAGGGAGCCGGAGACCGGGTCCTCCCTCCACCGCCTTTTACACTCGGCTGTTGGGAGGCCAAGCAAGAAAATGCCAATCTAGATGAAAACGAGGTCTAACACAGGTAGGAAATCTGGGCTGTGGCATCTCTCTCGCCTTCCCTGTCGCACAGACATCTACTCTGCACACATACATGTTCTATGTTATATAATCTATATTAAAGATGCATGTGTGGCCGCGGTTCACACAGGGACACCCACAGACCCGCACGCTTCCTGCAGCCCCAGGGTCTACAGCACCCCAGGGTCCCAGGAACTTAGGTATCGGCTCGCACTGCTCGCGATTCATCGCTCCATTCACGCCCCGACAAGGAATACCGACACGAAAGCACACGAGAAAGACCCGCAGGGCTCCCGGGAACAGTATCACGCGAAAGCATCACCTACCAGTTTTCTTGCATCCATTGGATGGCTTCATTCTCGTTGAACTGCTTTTCGAATTCATATTCTTGTAAAGTCAACACTGACATGTTCATTGGGGCTGATCTTCGGAGTCGCTACGTGTTCTCTATACAAAATAAAATAATCTGTAAAGCGCTTGATTTCGAAGGTTCGCCTGTTTGCTTCCCCCACCCACCCCCCTGCGTCTTCCCCTCGCCGCTCGGTCTCAGGCGGTCGTTCTGTCTCCCAGCTTTCCTCAGCTACATCCAAGGGTGAGCATTGCCTGTGCCTCCGCTAGCTCCTGCTCGGTCTGGGGTTCTCCTCCTCCCGGCGTCCGCATCCACCGTAGGAGGAAATGAATGCCTTGCGGTCTTAGTGCCCGCACGATTGTCCATCACCCCTTTTACTCGTCTACAGGGAAATCTCCTCCCCCTCATGCGATTGGAGAATTTAACCCTTTGTGAGGGAAAGCTAGCGCGAGTGAGACCTCTCCTGTCCAGGGGAGCAATTTTGTTTACACGAAGGAGACAGTGGGGAGCGGAGGAGGGGCGCGCGCAGGGAGGAAGTGGCCTCGAGGTCATCTCCCCACCCCAGTCCCAACCTCTTGGGCCGCCTCGCCCTGCCTTTGAATGAAGTTTCAGCGTGCGGGGCGCAGCCAAGAGCGCGTGGACCTGCGAGCTTGGCAAGTAGGCGATTGGGAAATAGTAAAACCTGCCAGCTCTCTCGCAAGAGAACTCTGGGCAAATTTGCTGAGATCACACGCGAAGGGAAGGCGTTTCCTACCTCCTTCGCCTCCACTGTCCCCTCTGGACCCCCACCCCCACCCCCTTCCCGGAGCTCTGGCTTTGACTCCACGCTAACCCGGGGCCGCACGGCCCGCTGAGCTCCTTCCTAATCACGTGCGGGCTGGGAAGGCTGCGGATGAGGACTGTGGAAAGTCAAGACCTGCTAGCAGCCGGAAGAGGGAGAAAGGGCAGGCAGAGGGGTTAGGAAGGTTTTTGTACGGGGAGGGGGAGAGTAAATGGGACTGAAACAAAGGGCGGGGGGAGTTAGCAGATAGTAGAACTGGACCAACTGGTCCAATGCAAAAACTTCATTGGTATGCATGAGTAATCTTGCTTTATTTATTGTACCTGGAGGTGGAACAAAATAATGTTTAAGGAGAGGGTTAAATGTAATGTCGACCCCCTACTGAGCCCTCAGCCTTACAACAACGTTGTCCACGTTTTAACCTCAGCTTCCAAACACACCTCTCTTTCTTTTCCCAGAGTGGAGAAGTAATTTCTATTCTCTTTGTCCCTCCACCATTCCCCCCAAGAGTTAAGAAATATATGATATGGGACACGGAGACCTCTAATAATTTAATCTATGGGTTTATTTGTAAATTAAAAAAAAAAAAAGCAATCTATACTTTAAGAAGTAGGTGGCAAGGATGGCGAGACTTTGTCTCACATACTTTGGACATGTTATCAGGAGGGATCAGTCCCTGGAGAAGGACATCACGCTTGGTAAACAAGAGGGTCAGTGAAAA